CCCCTTCACCCAAGGATACTCTGTGCCAAGTTTGGTTGAAATTGGCCCAGTGGTTCTTGAGGAGAAGATGAAAATGTGAAAAGTTTACGCCGACGCCGACGACGACAACGACGACGACGACGACGACAGACAACGGACAAATTTTGATCAGAAAACCTCACTTGAGCCTTCGGCTCAGGTGAGCTAAAAAGAAATGTGTGAATTGTGTATTCTTCGTTTTGTTAAAAACTATAAAATCAAGTGCTTAAATTCTACAGTATGTTTGCTACTACCCATATTTGAGGGGGTTTAAGAATTAATTAATCATAAATAACAAGATAATTATTCGAAAATTAACAAGAGGCCCAAGGGCCTTGAATCGCTCTTCTGATAAATATACAATCTATCCTAAGACCCAAGATGCATCAACTGACAACGTTTGATGATTCTTAGCCAGTTAGGGCTGAAGATATTTAAATGTAACTATAAAATACTATAAGTAGGTCATGGTGACCTACTTTTTGATTGAAATTTTCTGAGGACACAAGATGCATTAATTGACAAAGATTGATGATTCTAAGCCATTAAGTACTTGAGATATTCAAAAGTGGGTCACAGTGACCTACTTATAGGTCAACATTCTTCGAAAACCCAAGGTGCATAAACTGACAAAGTTTGACAATTCTAAGCCAACAAGTACCCTAGAATACTTAAATATAGTCATAAATGTCACAAGTAGGTCACTGTGACCTATATTTTGATCATCATTCTCTGAGAACCCAAGATGCATCAAATAACAAAGTTTGATGATTTTAAACCAATAAGTACCCAAAATACCTAAATATAGCCAAAAAATGACGAAAGTAGGTAACTGTGACCTACTTTCTGGTCGACATTCTCCGAAAACCCAAGATGTATCTACTGACAAAGTTTGATGATTCTAAGCCAATCAGTACCTGAGATATTCAAAAGTGGGTCACCGTGACCTACTTTTTGGTCAACATGCTCCGAAAACCTAAGATGCATTAAATGACAAAATTTGATGATTCTAAACCATTTAGTACCTGAGATACATAAAACTAGCCATAAAATGTCAAAAATAGGTCACTGTGACCTACTTTTTGGTCGACATGCTCCGAAAACCCAAGATGCATCAAATGACAAAGTTTGATGATTCTAAGCCAAAAAGTACCTGAGATACTAAAATATAGCCATAAAATGTCAAAAGTAGGACACTGTGACCTACTTTTCGATCGTTAATCTCCGAAAACCCAAGATGCATCAACTGACAAATTTTAATGATTCTAAGCCAATTAGTACCCGAGATACTTAAATCTAGCAATAAAATGTCGAAAGTAGGTCACAGTGACCTACTTTTTGGTCAACATTTTCTGAAGACCAAAGATGCATCAACTGACAAAATTTGATGATCATAGGTCTAATAGTATTCCAAATATGCCTTTTATACAATTTGAAAACAAATGCCTGCAAAGTTAAAAAAAGTAGGTCACAGTGACCTACTTTTTGATAAATATGTTTCAAGGCCTCTAGATGAATCAACTTACAAGATTTGGTGATTCTAAACCTCTAAGTGTCTGAAATAATGGGCTTAAATGTTTTAGAAAAGATTAGCCATAAAATTCAACAAGAGGCCCAGAGGCCACAGCGCTCACCTGAGCACATCGGGCTTGAATTTGCTCCCCCCCTCCAGGCGTTCATCATTTGAACAAACTAGAATCTACACTACCTGAGGATGATTCCATATAAATATCACTAATCATAGCTTTGAAGTACTTGAAAAGAGGATTTTAAAAGGTTTCCCTATATATTTCTATGTAAAACTTGGGTCGGCCATTTTGGCCCCACCCTAGCCCCCGGGGTCATGATTTGAACAAACTTGAATCTACACTACCTGAGGATGATTCCACATGAGTTTCATCTTTCCTGGCCCAGTGGTTCTCGAGAAGAAGATTTTTAAATATTTTTCCTATATATTCCTATGTAAAACAAGGGTCGGCCATTTTGGCCCCACCCTTGCCCCGGGGGTCATGATTTGAACAAACTTGAATCTACACTACCTGAGGATGATTCCACATGAGTTTCATCTTTCCTGGCCCAGTGGTTCTCGAGAAGAAGATTTTTAAATATTTTTCTAATATATTCCTATGTAAAACAAGGGTCGGCCATTTTGGCCCCACCCTTGCCCCGGGGGTCATGATTTGAACAAACTTGAATCTACACTACCTGAGGATGATTCCACAGGAGTTTCATCTTTCCTGGCCCAGTGGTTCTCGAGAAGAAGATTTTTAAAGATTTTTCCTATATATTCCTATGTAAAACAAGGGTCGGCCATTTTGGCCCCAACCTTGCCCCAGGGGTCATGATTTGAACAAACTTGAATCTACACTACCTGAGGATGATTCCACAGGAGTTTCATCTTTCCTGGCCCAGTGGTTCTCGAGAAGAAGATTTTTAAAGATTTTTCCTATATATTCCTATGTAAAACTTGGGTCGGCCATTTTGGCCCCAACCTTGCCGCGAAGGTCATGATTTGAACAAACTTGAATCTACACTACCTGAGGATGATTCCACATGAGTTTCATCTTTCCTGGCCCAGTGGTTCTGGAGAAGAAGATTTTTAAAGATTTTTCCTATATATTCCTATGTAAAACTTTTATCGGCCATTTTGGCCCCACCCTTGCCCCGGGGGTCATGATATGAACAAACTTGAATCTACACTACCTGAGGATGATTCCACATGAGTTTCATCTTTCCTGGCCCAGTGGTTCTGGAGAAGAAGATTTTTAAAGATTTTTCCTATATATTCCTATGTAAAACTTGGGTCGGCCATTTTGGCCCCACCCTTGCCCAGGGGGTCATGATTTGAACAAACTTGAATTTACACTACCTGAGGATGCTTCCACATGAGTTTCATCTTTCCTGGCCCAGCGGTTCTGGAGAAGAAGATTTTTGAAAAATGCCATTAATTTTTAACAAATTCATGATTATCTCCCCTTGGAAAAGGGCGTGGCCCTTCATTTGAAGAAACTTGAATCCCCTTCATCCAAGGATACTCTGTGCCAAGTTTGGTTGAAATTGGCCCAGTGGTTCTTGAGGAGAAGATGAAAATGTGAAAAGTTTACAACGACGACAACAACGACAACGACAGACGACGGACAAATTTTGATCAGAAAAGCTCACTTGAACCTTCGGCCTTAAAGTGTCCAAAATATGCCTCCAAATCAATTTGAAAAAAAAAGCTCGTAAAATTTAAAAAGTAGGTCACCGCGACCTACTTTTGTATTAACATGATGTCAAGTCCTGAGATGCATCAACTTACAAGATTTGATGACCCTAGTCTTTATAGTAAGAAAAATATCAACGTTTTTAATAAGTGTAAATTTTGGTCAACTTTGAAGTGACCTTGAGACCACGCCCTTTGCCCCAGGGTCATGCCTTGAACAATTTTTAATCTTCAACATATCCTGACCCTTGTATGTAAGTTTGGTGAAAATCTGCCTGGTGGTTCTGGAGAAGAAGATTTTTTAGCAACTAGTACTTTTGGTTTTATTTTCGTGATTATCTCCCCTTGTTTTAGGGTCCCACCCCTAATTTTAGTATAAATGGTAGCCCTTGGGCCAAGGATACCCTGTGACAAATTTGACAATAATTGGCCAAAGGGTTCTTGAGTTATGGCCCATATTCTAAAAAGTTAACGCACACCGCACGACGCACACCGCACAAATGGCCATAGCATTAGCTCTTTGAGCCTTTGGCTCAGAAGAGCTAAAAAGCGGATCAAGTTTTACTACAACATTTTTTTTTCAATTGGATAAATTGACCTGACTTGTCAGAACCATTGTATTCAGTCATGTATTGCACAGAACCATAACAAAAAAAATTTAAAAAAATAATAATTTACCTAAGAACTAAACAGAAACAAATTTAAAAGACATTAAATGTTATTTCTTTCTTCTTTCAACATTAAACACAAAGTAGATAATTTAATATCATAAATAAAACTTTACACTGTAAAGAAATACATAAATAAATAATAATAATAAAAATATGAAATAAGCCTTCTGATGGCAATAAACTGTATTTTGAAAATACAAAAATCCTCAAACTTTTGAGTCTACTGATGAAAGCTGTTCACAAGAAGAAATTAATCCTGAAAGTACTTGTTCACAATGAAAGATGGAATTAAAGAAATTCTCTTTAATAGAAATTGGTTATTTCAATTCTTTTTAGTCTTATTTATTATTTGAAATGTATTGTTTTCTTCTGAAGTAAAAATTATAGCAGCTTTGAATTATTCATATACTGTATAAGCAGAATTTTAGCGAGGATTTAATTTTGGCTTTATTAGCGAGGTTGTTGAGATCACTAATAATGAATATCGCTAAAAATTAAATGCATTTTATTTGTAAAAGCTTCTTAAGTGTGCATTTTAAATCGCTAAAATTGCATCTCCCTAAAAATAAAATACCAGTTTATAAGGACAAATCGCTAAATTTATTCGCATATACTTTCAATCATTCACTTCTGACAATACTAGATAACAGAATACGCTACAGACTCCAAACCAACCTGGTAGCATTTCTGATGATGAATAACACAACACAGACACATGTAACTATTCCTAATTGTGGTGAAAAATTATCTTCCATGTGGCAAGACCCATTTCAGAAAAAAGAAAAACTTCAAGCATTGCATGACAGCTAAATTGATGACTGGACCCAAACATATACCCATGGAGAATAACTTAATCCCAGAATATTGATCTAAACATTGCCTGACAAAGTAACAGAGTTCATTGAGAATTTTGTCATAATTTTTGTAAAACTATACAAATAAAACTGACATGTCATTTTTGAACATATTATAAACATAATTTACAGGATAATTTTATCTGCAGTTTTTTTTGTAAAAAAAAAAAAAAAACTTTTAAAACGGGAGATTTACATGTACTTGGTAAATGGGACTTATTTACTTTACAAAAAACTGACTTTTAAAAAAAATCAGCATGAAATTTTGAATTGTTCAATAAAGAGCAAATAAGCAGTGGAAGATAATAAATCAGAGAGTCTTATGTCAAAAGATATGGGAATAAGTTAACATACAACAGAAAAAAAGTTTAGAAGGTGAGGTATAAGGCAGAAAAGATATTAGATATAAACCATCACTGCTTGGCAGCCATCTTGGTTACTATAGAAACATCTCTGACCTGAAGAAATTCTCAAGTTTGAAATACCCTGTTGAAAAATCACACAGTAATTATGATATAATACAAAGTTCTTCTTTTATATTCTTAACACTCGGTTACTGACAGAAAAAATTTCTTTCAATTCTTATAATTATATTAATTATAATTATAAGTTACCTGAATTACACTTGGTTCATTTCCTCCAGTTTTATACAAGGTGAAAACTCGCTGTCTCTACAATATATAGAAAATTTTACACTGATGGTGTTTACAAATAATGTTAATAAACACAACTATCAATTTATTTATAATAATGCAAATATCCATGCATTCATAAAATTTCAACTACAATAATAAAAATTGTTGTTTCAGCAAAAACTAAAATATATAATGGAACAGACATTAAAAGGCTTGTCACTTTCAGATTTTGCTTAATCTTAAATGGAACATGTAATATTAAGAAAGCCTGTGAGAAAATTATTGATGTCATTGTAAACAACACAAAATCCCAGTGTTAATCTGTAACTACATTAACCGCAGTAAAGATAATTTAGATTCTCTACAGTATCCATAGCATCGATTTTCCCACTCTTCTATATCTACTATCATTTAAAAAATAAAATTAAAGTGAATTAAAAAAGATTTTGTTATGAAAGATATGTGTGTATGAATGTAAATATAAGAATTAACAGACATTTTAAGCAAAACTCCAGGTACATATGAGGGTATCTATTGTCAATGTAACAATAACATCTATTTCAGTAAAATCAAGAGCTGTGCCTGTCAGACTCTTTATAGCTTTAGACTGGAACTGTTGACATTCTCTATTTCAGATAAAGCCTTTAAAATACTCAGTTCAACCTTCATGATTTCCTAATTGAAATTTCCTGTAATTTAACTCAAGTAATGTGAAAAAAGAAATTGTATTTACATTGTCAAAATAATGAGATAATTATAAATTGATTTTTCCCCTCTCTGTAAAGTAAATCAATCTCAATCAAGAGGGAGATCTGCTTTATGGGATGTGGACATGCTCTTCCCCTGAATACACCCACAGGTTATTGATAGAACAGTCAGACACATGGGGAGGTAGATCAAACAGTCTGATACATCAACATCAAAAAGATGTGGAGACAAAAGATGAGAAAACAGAAATCAAATCTGGATGTCAAAGAGTGCACAGATGACACCACTAATAACAACAGGCTTACAAGACAAAATTGATGCATTAAATTATGAAAACCACTCTGTAAAGATGTTTGCTATATGCAAGCAATAGGAATTAAGGTAAAAATTCTTCACAAAGCTAGAAAAAAAGCATGCTAGTTTAAGGTAAAAGAAAGCCTACAAAGAGGAAAAGCAGAGGTAGAGATTTGTCATTTCATTAAGTTTAAAAAAAAACACCTCTAGCACCATTGTCTAAGCTGTAGTAGCCTTGTATTCATGCAGTGATATCTCAGTCTGTACAGTACTTACCCAGCATCAGCTTCCTACACAAAGAGCAAGTATACAACTTAAAAACCATGCAATAAAATCTCTCTCACACCTTGTACAATACAAATAATTAAATGTTGAAAAAATTTACAAAAACGTCAAAGTGATCATTTGATGCAAACTTTACAGACACTAACAATTATAAAAATGTAGTCCACTTTAGTTTAATTTCCCTATAATAAATTGAAGAGTAGAAGCTTTTAACCCCTTCCATGGCAAAGATTTTAAGCATTTCTAGTTAAATTGATATTAAGATTTCAATGCATTTTTTCAGGTATTTCTTGCAATTTTTGTTTATACTAATGTATGTATTTTCTGAAAGTAGATATTGTGTAGTTTCTGAAATTGATTATAAAAATATCATTTCAGTTGCCATGGCAACAAAATAAATCATAATTATGCTGGAATTTCCATTTATGCAAGAATGAGTTTCATTCTACTTTTTTTGCTTAGTCAAATATATTTTAAAATATTTTATTGTTGTGTTGAAAATTTTGAGCATGTTGTACATTTTTCTAAAAACCAATTTTAAGGATTTTGGCTGGATGGGGTGGCGTTGGGAAGTAATCACCAGAATTTAGCATTTTTACATATTACATGTTACCACTGCATTGATTGCGATAATGACAAAATTGCTCAAATAGTGTGCAAAGTTTAAATCAAGCTAGCAAAAAAACTGGTACAATAAATAAAAAAAATTCTGTATATTGTTTTATCGCTATTATTTTCTCTTTCCAACGATGCAGATATTATACTGATATTTGCAGTATTTAGGAAGTTATGAATGTTTGTTCACACTATTCCTTTTTTTCAAGTCAGATGCGTAGAAATGCAAATGAATCAATTCAAACTCAAAAGAATGCATACAGTTTCTACTGTGAAATCTTCATTGTTCATGGGGGGCTAATGTTGATGAAATTAGTATTCAACTTTAACTACCAATTTACATATACATGATGATGTTATTTTGTAAACACATTGATTCAGTGAATCTACCGTATAAAAAAGTAACCTACGACATAACATCACAAACACGAGTACAGGACTAATAAGTAAAAGCATTTCTAAAAGAATCACTAATGACTTAATACCATATTTACATTTACAACCTTAAAATTCGTCATTTAGTGAAAGTCTGCTATTGAACAACAAACAACAAATGGTTATCACAGATTTTCTGCCATTAAAACTCGATAAAAATTCAAATCCCAGAGGTCAAATAAAAAGTTCTTGAGAAGGTCACACAAAGGGATAATATCGTAAAAAGTTCATCTGTACTTAAACAGAAGTGATAAATCATTGAAAGTGACATCAATGATAGATCTAATATCTATAAAGTACATTTTAATGGCTTATTTAACACTCGGTTTAATCAATGTGCTTCAATCAGTGGATGGGGGAATTTTGTCACAAGTCCAACCTTTCATTGTGTCTACCTGATGCAACCTTACCCAAAATTATACGTCTACATAATCAATTATACATGTACCATTGAGATTTACATTAATACAGTTTCATGAATTTAAGATCATGATTGTGTAAATATTTTATGAGGTAGTCAATATTAAAAGTGTTATGATACAGCAATACACCAATCATACTGATTGCAATTTAAGGGCTCACAATAAAATTGCCATGCATGTATCATGTTACAGTATATGATAACTTTTTGTTTGAAACTTTAACATAAAACCTAATAAATATTTATGTTTTAAAATGACTGAAAACAAGGTAGCAAAGGAAATAATACAATGTCAAGACTCTTAATCCACCTTTTATAAACTTTGGTCAGGGGTATCAAGATATTCTTTTTAGACTCTCTATAACTGTGGAGGTTAGCAATAAATAACATGTAAAGATAACAGTCAATTCAACTGTTGACAGGTGTATCATACAAAGTACAGAAAAATTATTTCTTTTCTCTTTCACCCATAGCATTTTCAAACAAAATACCATTTTTTTTCAATTTTTCAAGTACTATAATTCTCCAGAGACTGGTAATGCTATTGAGCTGCTTTTAACAATGCATATTTAATACACTCCCATTCAGTAGACATATTTCTTGTAAATAAAATATTTAAAAATATTACTTGATTACATCAGCTGAAATTAACGTCATGATGGCTTTTTTTTTTTAAAATGCTGCCACTTTGCTAAGAAAATCAATATTAATTAATCCATAACACTATTTCCATGGACCTATTTTTTTTTACGTCCAATCTCTCCGTGTGATTTCTTTTCTTTTTTTCTAATTAAGCATGCATGCACTTGCTTATAACTCTGATGAGCCAGTTGGCTTACGGAAATAATGAAACTTGAAAATTTGGCTTAAATTGATGCTGACCTTATTGATTCAGGACAAATTACAGACAAATAGAAGATCATCAACTTTAACAGAATATTCCAGTCACTAGGTAGCCATTACTGACCTGGTTCAGAGGAGCAATGTTCTCTAAGCAGCCATTGGAATGCTTCTCTGGTTTCTCTTTTCTAGGTGAGGTATGCACTGAGGAGGTATCATACGGCTTAGGACCCAACCAGCTCAACACTACAGGGAGGTATACCAATCCATGGAACAGCCCAAACACAACCACAGTGAAAAATACCTAAACAAAGATGTACATATAATAAATACTAATGTTTGAACTCAACAGGGAGGGAGGCCAATCCATGGAACAGCCCAAACACAACCACAATGAAAAATACCTGTACAAAGATGCACACATAATAAATACCAATGGCTGAACTCAAGGGAGGGAGACCAAACCATGGAACAGCCCAATTACTTGGAAGATTGTAGTGACTAACCTTGAAGAACAAAGAGAAGCCGTAGCTGTTACTGTTTGCAAGGAGAACAAAAGCCAGGAACGTACTGAATCCGCCATTAAACACTGCAGGCCCTATCTCTGTCAGCGCCATCACTGGACGTTCTAAGATAAAAAATTACGTTCTAATATATGTACATTGTCAGGCTGTCCATGACATGAAGTCAAATCTCTTTCACAGTTTTCAAGTTTTTACTATTAACTATTCAATTATTATCTTTTATAATTAACATTTCACTATGATGAAATCTATCAGCACTTATTCAGAGAAAAAGGGCCCTCCTATTATAACAAGCTTACCATTTTTACTGCCAGACACCGTCATAAAGGTGTGACCTATGTGTGCAGAGTAATCCACAGCCAGACCTACACACAGGGTCAACAGAATACTGCTAGCGGTGTCTATAGTAACACCCCAGTAATACATGGTCCCAGCCACATCAACCTACAGGCAAATACACAAATAATAACTTGTTGCACATATGTAATGTCACATAGTTTTTTCCTGTCAAAAGGTCGCAAATATACGTGGTAATCCTAAAATTGTCACTACCTGGTTGATGAAAAACACATGGTTATGTGGTGGACTTAATAGCAGAGTAAACTTAACAGAAATGTAAACTATTAACTTACCAGAGTAAATATGACACAAGAGAACACTATCATACTGGTCCATATATTGGCAATCAAAACCAGAGTCACAAAGAACACACATGCCCCTGCCAAAGCCAGATTACGGTACAACTCTCTCTGTAAAACCTACACAATGGGAAAGATTCAGTACATGTACATTAATTTCATCGAATTATCAGAAAACTTGCAAAACAAAATGCGTCAACCACAACTGCTGATGAAGAAGCTACAGAATATAATGACCTTATTTGTCTCGTAAGTCAGATACTGGGGACAATAAGGGAAGCACATCCCCTCGGGTAGTCCCGAGTTATCTGTGATTTTGCGTAGATTTTCCATTTCTTCAATTTCTGCCTGTGAGTTTGGCTGACTGGTGTGTCTTAGAGAGAAGTACATAGCCTACAACAAAGAGGTGAAAATGCTGGACATCAGCAGAGAAAATATATATCAAGCTTCACCAAACAGAACAAAATCCAACTCTTTACGTCTTAGCGAATCCTCTCTTATTTATAACATCACTGTTGCCTTACCTTAAGTATTGGTGGGTGAATTGTTTTGTCGAATTTGACAAATCTTCTGAAGGCCTGCCCTACTTTGGTCTGCTCTATAAACTTCAGGGCCAAGGAATCAAATTCATGCTCATCATATGGATAGTGATCTAAAGGAACCACAAGTCAACAAAACATCATCACTATTTTAGCATTATTGCGTTCTGACATCATACTTGTACTATTTCAATGTTTAATAACATAAAGCACATGAAATACATTAAATCCTATTTACCTTTTGACTTAATTAAAAAGACTATTTTTAGTTAGAATAATAATGATTATCATTTCATGCATTTATCCACAAGAACTTGACATACTGTATTTGGCCAGATTTGAATCATTTCTACTTCTCAGCCAAGCAGTAAATGCCGGGAACCAGCTAATGAGTGTTCCGTTCTCCACCCCAGGATCAGCTCGGATTTTTGCTAACATGTCATTTAAGATCTTCTGGCTAGAGCCATAATGTATGTCACCTAAAAGAAAATTTAATCTCTTCCATGATAATAAACTTTGAAATTTTTAAAATAAACATATTTCTCTAATCATAATACTGTTCAACATCAATTCAGCATAAAAAATATTCTTATTTATCTAATCTTTTTGCAGAAAACCTGCGAAAACAAAATATTTACATGTACTAGAAATCTCAAAATAGACAGTAGCTCAATTCAACCTCAAAAGGCCAATTTACCACAAACAAAACTGAAATTGAATTTATTTCCTTTCTGTCTTGTTTTTTTTTCAAGTATAAATATTTAAAACCAAATCCTTAAAATTCACACCAGATGTTTTTACTATTTACCAACAAATGGCCTGCCAGACACAGAGATGGATGATGATCATGAATAACTTTCCAACTTAAAAGCTCCTTTTATACTCTATGATCAGCATAGTTTTTGTTACCTTACATTCTTTTACCAATATAAAATTAAAACTTACCACAGTAAACATTTACATCCACCCCTCTGTCTGGGAAGTACTTCTCTTGGGCCTTGGCAAATTTGTGGGCATAGGAATCAGACGGGATGTACATAACTAGGTCAAAGTCCTGCTTTAGGTTATAGAAGCCATAGATATTGACCCCTAGCAAAGACGCAGTCACAAACACAACTAAAATCTGTAAGAAATTCAAAGTACCAGTAAAATCACATCAAAATATGCATACCATTTATTTAAAGAATGAAGTCTTCACCTCCATCAATTACACTTGAGAGAAAAAATATATGCATTCTATATTTCACAGAATGAGTTACTATGAACATTTCAATTTTCTACTTGGTTTTTATCCTTAATTTTTTTTTATCTGCTATGAATATTAACTGACCTTGACCGGAATCTTCATCAGAAATGGTCCAAAATATTCCTTAAAAGCTAAAGCCAGAAAATTTTTCTGACTACATTTATTGGGTTCAAAGGTTTTGTAAGCTAGACAACACAATATGGCGTCTCTCCGAGCCTTGATGCGTTTCTGATCCAGAGTCAGACAGGCCACAAAAAACGTGGACTGGAGGATAAATAAAGCCAGAATTCCAAGGGCCGCATCAATACAGAAAGCACTCAGGCCTGGTATCACCTACAAATGACACAAATTACAGGTATCATAATTTTAGGGTTTCAAACAATAAATGAATTATTTTAAATATAATTCTCGGTTATTTATATTTTTCTAGAGAAAAGCGTTATTCATTTTTTTTTTTTGCAATTTGATTCAATTTCAAATGAAAACTGTGAATTGAATCAATTCATCACTTCTGAAAGTCTTACAGTTGAAGCTCCTATTGCAAAGGCCACAATATCTGTAATGGAAGTCACAGTCACTGATACACCGGCATGTTTCATCGTCATGGCAATCTGCTTGGGGAGGGGGAGCTGGCATTCCTCGGGGGTCAGATTCTTCCAGGCTTCCACAATGACAAACATATCATCCACACCAATGCCTTAGTATAAAGGTCAAAGAAACATGAATCAAAAGTTCAAATAAGACAGCCAATCAAGGCAGAGTTCAATTTAAAACAACCAATCATGTCAAAGTTCAAAAAAGACAGGCATTAATAATCCAGTCAAAATTAAAATAAGACAGTCAATCAAATAATGTTCACTAATAGGTGCTATTTCAAATTATTATATCTCCAGTATGAATAATTGCATACAAATAATGTTCACTAATAGGTGCTATTTCAAATTATTATATCTCCAGTATGAATAATTGCATATAAATTTTTTCATGGAAAAATTACCTAGCAAAAGAAAAGGCATAAGAGCATGTACAGGACCATAAATAACGCCAAATGTCGTAGCTAAACCATAAGCAAAACCAATGGACATCCCCACACTCAACAGTCCTGCTAGGGACAGCAGAAGCTGAAAACAGACAGACATACATACAGGACAACAAAAACTACATTCTAATCATATTATTACATTAGCAGAGTACAGTTATAGCTAAACATTTAGTTGGCTCATATTCATAATAAACTAAATGTTTTACCTTATGTTCTACAAGATTAAATCTTCCAAGAGTTAAGATGACAAAGATGAGGACGATGCAGATGCCGACAGACAGAAGATTAATGTCCTCATTAACAGCTCCGTATCCCTCGTCATCAAAACTAGAGAAATAACAAAACAAAATATATAGAGAACAAAATCAAATGAGTGGGGGTGCATCACAAACGTATATCTTATAACCATTTTGTTTGATAAAATTTTAAGTTTTTACAGCTAGATTATCTTTCAGCACACAGTTTTAGCATTCCATTGCAGACATCCCTAATTCTCGCCATTGTCTCAGTGAATTTTACCTGCGAGTGGCATACACGTATATCTCCTGTAAATGTTGATGACCTTTTTGTACTGATTGGATGACCTCCATCTCCCAGTTCATAGCCACTGACCTTGTCTATTGGCAAAAAGAAGTCAGAAAAATAAACAAAGACTAAAATACATATTTATCTGCATCTACCATTGTCAGCAAAATTAATTAGAATGTCCTAAATGCCAAGGACAACTCAGGAAAGATAACTCTTACCTCCTCTTCATCTTTCAAAAGAAACAGCATGGAGGCTGCCCCTGCCGCGATGATTTTACCTTCCTCGTCAAATAAAATATTCCCTAGCACAGTGGTGACATCCAGCTCATTATGGAACAGTGGACTGAAATCAAACCAACAGATACACAGATACATTTGATATTTTCATTGGATTTCATTTCATGGATATACATGTAGTGTATGTCAAATAAAGGAAAACAATTCACTCCTTTACTATAGAACACTATTGAGTACAAGGGACTTTGTCACAAACTCCAAAAATAGGCCACATAAAGTCCATGACTTCATAGTCTTCCACATGTTTTCTATTTACAAACCTGTATTTGATATTATTTATGTCATTTAAGATATCATTGTAGGTCAAATGTGATATGGCAGTTTTGTTGTATGACCAAATCTCCAAAATGCTGTTAACTTTGCAGTGGGAACCAACTCTGGAATGGAAGGAATTATGACATTTCAATTCAAGATATATTCTATTTTTTGTTTTCAAAAAAGACATTGTACAGGTTTTTGTATAATTTGACTTTGACCTTATACCTATACCCCGTCTATATTCTATAGAAGATGATGACCCTATACCTTAAACACATGGACTGATAGGAGTATCCATCTTTGTAATAGGATACTGCTTTTTCATAAATATCTAACATCTGAAAGATTAAACAGAAAATCAAGTAAATATAAAAAGATAACACACACAAAAAGCATTTCATACACTAATATTCTTAATGAGATATTAAATTACCAATTGATTACAGTTAATAAGGGAAAAATTGCCAGATAAATTTTATTTTTTGGCAGCAGGATATACAGATTAAATTTCATTACATTTTTTCAGTTTTATAAACATGATAAACTTCTTACAGCGTTCAGTGATCTTGGTGATAGAATGTTGTTTTCTACAGTGATTATCTTTGCGAATCTGGTGTCTGGTGGAAAGTTCTCCATCACCCATTTCTTCTCCTTCTGTATGCGGGAGTAGGATGGCACCCATAGCTTCTCTGTTATATCAGTCTCTGTAAAATTGGCCATACCAAGGGAGGCAATTCCACAGACCACAAAACTCAGCACAATGGTCAGTATAGGATATGTCCCAACAAAATGTCCAAGGCTGAAATCAGACAATTACCTTGTAATATTTTTGAATTTGTCTCCCATCATGCCCAGTGGTAGAGAGTGTTTATAACACTAGATGGTTCTTTTAATTTAAAAGTTCATTTTGAAAACATGACATAATTTTTCGCAAATCTTAGCATGACATTTCCCCCCAAATCTAGAGATCTACTACTTATTTTATCAGATCTATTGAAAGGCGAAAATGTATAACTGGACTGGGAATTGACCCGTGACCCCTGCATCACTAGTCAAAGAGCTCAGTTTAGGTTTACATTGAAAAAAATCCTTAAAGACAGGTAAAATCTCAATTAGATATCCTAAAAATTCTCAGTCAGATGATCAGCATTTTCTCGAGTGCAACACTTAATAATGTTATACTTTGGACTTTTGGCATATACTTATTGGTGAAATCTACAAATTTAATTCACTGCACTAATGACTTGTGTGTATCATGTATAAGGTACTAAATCCACTAAAACGTTCTACTTACTGATAAAAGGCTGTTTCTAAACTCCATATTATTCCATGGCTGATCCTCTGTAAGCACATGCCACGCTTGCAAGTCATGCTACCGTCTGTTTTTTGGTGCATTTTTCTTCCGTAATTGTTAAAAAATCCTTCAACTTCTAAAGTTCACGATCGTTTTCTTCCAGCCCTCCCTCTATACCTCAAGCGTGACATAATTTATCAACTGTAGACAGTCAGCCTCTATTTTCTATTTTTTTCCTTGACATCGCAACATCGGAAATGCGATATGAAACATACTAATCGATCCGATCCGGGACAAGATATTGATAATCAGATCTAAGGAAAAAAGATAAATTATGATTATGTGAATAAAAATGATCGAAACAATATGATAAAAGTAGCGTTTTGTCAATAAAACACAATTAAATTCAGTTATCCTAACTTTACTTATGACTATTGACGATGTGTAAAGCTACAGTTCAAGACAGACACCCCCCCCCCCAAACAAACAACTTTTTTTTTATAAATCAAAATTATTCAGCCATAATATGCTTAATGAGCACTCTGTTGTGGGATAATATACATGTATATAAAGTCTGTCCCATCAAGCTATATATTGTCACCACTTTTCGCAATTATATTTACATGTATATATGGCCAGATAAAATTAATCTTTAGATTCTCATCCCCGCCCTCCCCTCTCAATACGTCCCGCCCCAGTGTTTTTTATTTCGATTTTTGAGTGTTAAAAGTATTTTTATGTATTTTTATTCAGCAAGAACTTGGATGAAAGTTTAAGAGTTATCTCCCGTCTGTATTAAAAGTCGCGTGCCGCTATTTATAGCAAAAGAACCATGTGAAGAATGGAGAAAAATTGGCAATAAAAGCAGCAGAAAATAGAATTTGTCAGTATAGAGAAATCAGAGATGAAAAAAAAACATAAACACATCTAGATATCATCATTGGCATGAGCAAGTTTTAGAGAGATTTAATTGAATAGGCCTAGTAAGTAAAAATAGACCAGGAAAATGGCACCTGGTCAAATTTTAACGATCTCTAGCTGTACGTGATCTTGCATTAAAAAAAATAAAACATCGCCAGCAGACTTTAGAGAATAATAGTGCTAAGGAAATGTTTTACTTTAATCTTAAAACTGTTCAGGCCTAGGCTTTTTCGGTAGGATATTTTATAGATTTTGCAAACATGACCTATTTTATTGTGGAACATGTCATTTTAGTCTCAAGAACAATAGAATTTTTTAGGATGGTGGAAATCTGTGATATTTCACACAAAACAGAGGGATTTGTTGGTAAAACTAAAAGATATTTGGGGAAAGACGATGAGAAGTCATGCATGCACAATTTATAGTATCTGCACCTCATTTTGTTTGGCGTGTGGAACACGTGTACTTGATTATTTGTTAATTAAACTATAAATATTTATTTTTTTTAAAACAAGAACCATCTGTAGATATTTAAAAGAATATGAAAACAATAAAATCTATTCATATTAGCATTAACATATACTGAAAAAAAATGTGTACGAAGAGTCCATGTTTTGTTGATACTTTCAATTATAAAAAAATAAAAAATAAAATATGCCCACCCGCCCCAATTTTTTAGCAAATTTATCTAAAGATTAATTTTATGTGGCCTATCTCAAAATAATAGTTTGTTCTGAAGATTTTTTTGAACAATTTTAGTATTAAGTCTACATTAAAGATTTTATTTATTTTTAACAAGGATAAAAATTAGTTTTCATGGATAAAAAAAAAGATTTATATATATTTCAAGCCTGTGTATAACACACCATTTATTCATTATAAAAAGTCATGATTCGAGGTATCCGCCATACATTTTAAAGTTAGATTTAAAGTACAAGCACATAGAATTAATGTTGTGATAAAATATTTTATAACGCTCAATTTATTTTGGGCAGGTATTTTAGAAGTTATGTGAAAATAATTCAAAACATCCTGATTTAAAAGTGCAAAAATGCAGATCAACATTGAAGGAAATGACGAGACTGTAGCTCTACTGGTTTGAATTTGTAACAAAGGAACAATTGCACTTACTTGCACTTGAATGAACATAACAGTACATTATAAATAAAACAAAGGGCCTTGGTTAAGTTGCTTTGTTGGAAACTGTTAGAGGTCAGTCACCTTTTGAAGGAATTTCACAAGAGACCCATGGGCTACAATGGTCACCTGAGTAACATTCTGGCACCAGATTTTCCAACTCAAAATACCTATCGTAGCTCCACCCTACGTCCGGGGGTAATGCTTTGGACAATTTAAAATCTACACTACCCTGCAGGATGCTTCCAACTATGTTTCAGCTTTCCTGGCCCAGTGGTTCTTGAGATTTTTTTAATAACCCCATTTCCATTTTTGTCTTACTTGATCATCTCCCCTTATAGGGAAGCTTGACCCTTTATTTTAACAATTTACCCCCCCCCCCTCCCTTTTACTCAAAGATGCTTTAAAACTGACAAATTGATTTTTGAGAAGTTGAAAATGTGAAAAGTTTACATATGGATGGACAAAGACAGTCAGATGGACAAGGGGTGATCACAAAAGTTCACTTGAGCTTTCAGCTCAGGTGGGGGGTCATAAAACTTTTGATCTCAGTCTCACTTTTTCGAAAGGAATATAGAGTGATGTCAATTAGGGTTACCTTAGATCCCAGTTTATGAATTGCAGGCTGCTGTATTTTTAAAAACCTATGCATCAGATTCAGGGGGCTTCCCCTTCAAGGTCTAAAGGCAGTTCAAAGAGCTAGACCCCCTGCCTCATCTCATGAAGGCACCTCCACCTTTATTTGAAATCCTGGATCTGGCTATGCAAACCTATGATAGGGACATAAATCCTAGCTGTTCCTCATTTGACTCCTGGATTTAGAGATTCACTATGGCAAAAATGAAACATTTTAACTATTGATCTGGGGGAGAGGGGATATACTGCAAAATTTTGAACATTTTATATCACATTTTAAATGGAGATTAATAAGTTCAATAAATCAACAATGGATTTCCCAGTTAGACAATATTTTATTGCATGCAATGTAAAACAGTCAATGTAACAAATATGCCTTAATTTCCCTCAAGCGACAAATGCTTGTGAGAACTTGTTAACATGACAATAAAAATAACACAGCAAAACTTAGTAAAATAAAAAAAAAATCTGATCACAGAAAGAAACAAAACCAATATGAAGCAATCCTCCTTACACAGCGAGCTGCCCTACCTAACATCCATATTCTCACTACCCAGAAAATTCTCCAACCTAACACCCATCATAAGAAAACTCCCTAATCTTACACCCTTAATAAAGCTCCCCCACTTAACACCCATAATTCTCATAACCAAGAAAGCTCCCCCTTTTAACATCCTCAACCCCCATTACCAAGTTAACTTTCCTACCTTTTCATTACCCATAATCCTCATTACCTTCTCAACCAAACACCCATAATCCTCTTCACACAGTGACCCTCTCTACCTAATGCTTACAATTCTCTTTACACAGTGACCTCCCTACCTAACACCCCATATTTTACTTACATAGTGATCTCCCCTACCTTACACCCACAATTCCTCTTACACAGTGACTTCTCTTACCTAACAAGTATCAACCTACCCTCAAACTTTTATCATTGCTGGAATGTTTTCATTTTAAGCAGACTCTTAAAATATCACAGCCTCCACACTGAAGAATTAAAAACAAACTAGACATGTTTGTTAAACACTAATGCTCCCACATGACAGCTGTTTGCCAAGGTGAATGTAGGCCAAGGTCAGTGCAATGTCAAAAATGCTGGTATCAAAAGAAAAGATTGACACATGAAACATGTAAATTTTGAAAATTCTTCAAGAAAGGACAAAATGTTGACAGATCAATACTACAGGCAAAACTTATCAACATTCACAATTTATTTCAAACTTAAGAACCAAATTGCACTTAACTTCTTTGAACTTTGTGCAACATAAACATTTTTGATGTTGAACTGCATTTCTAAAATTAAGTCCCTATAGGTATTTATATCACACCATTTTTATTGTTAACAATTTACTAGATCAACTACGATGTACTTCTTAATAGAAACCCAAACTCCTCTGTTTCTGATATTCCTAAAATATGATACATTTATAAATTATCCAATAAGCAAAGTAATTCAGACAGTTAATATTTACCTCTTTTTCTACATACAGTCAACAACCAACTTAATGATAAATTAAAACAAAAATACAAAAAAAACAAACTTAAACAGCTAAAACCTACATAAAATTGTGTAAAAAAGACTGCTTCATACCGGTACAATTATCAACAAGAGTGGACAACTCTGTCAATAATTGTGATCTTATCACTAGCTGTTGCATCTACACCACATGTCAGTGTATTCGTCTTACAACCGTAGAGTTATTTCCCTTCAGAATACACATCTCCGTGTCCTTGATAGGAAGCTAATGTATGACGCCACGCGACCCCGTCAGTCGCAGAATGTCTTGCGTCCAGGCTTAGGAAATAGGCTTTGGCATTCAGATGCACATAAAAAAAAATGGGCGCTTGGTCTTGCACTAAAAACGGATAACAGGAGGATGCTGCTTGAGACGCAGGGTTAATCTGCGAGAGTTAGGGAACCAAGGTCAGAAGTAAACTTCTCTCAGAAGATAGCCGAGAGGTTCAAAAATAGAGAACTGTCAGATAGAAATGATGAAAAGTAACATCTGAACTTTTAACAAGATCATTTCATGACGAGTAAAATAATTAAAAGTTTTGTTTTTTTTTTGTAAAAATAAACTTTCCATAATGATTTCTAAAACTTGAGTACAAAAGTTATTTTATCCCTAAATAAATCAATTCGTTTTAAGATCAATGCTACAATTTTGTGTGTGTGACCTGGTTCACCTTTCTCACAGACTGTACAAGAAACATTTAAAAGCTGAAGATACCGTGTCATGTTTACTCCTTACTTATTCAGTGCCCTATCTCAAATTTAACATTAATGGCTATTCCTGTGCAAAATACATGATAGGGTGGAATTCCTCATTGGGGGGGGGGGGGGTTTACTTTAGAAAATACCATGAGAGAGTTTTTTAAAACACACCACTTAATATTCATAGAATTTTAATTACATTGCACTTCATTTTGATTCTGGATATTTTTCTTCCATTAGCAATCAACCCTCACCTTCCTAAACATAGCTTCATACCAGAATATGTAATGGAAGAGCCAAAGTTCTAGGGGTAAAAAATCTTTCATCAATTC